CCTGTAACTCTCCTGTGCCTCACATGTTCCTCACCTGTAACTCTCCTGTGCCTCACATGTTCCTCACCTGTAACTCTCCTGTGCCTCACATGTTCCTCTCCTGTTCCTCACATGTTCCTCACATGTTCCTCACCTGTAACTCTCCTGTGCCTCACATGTTCCTCACCTGTGCCTCACGTTCCTCACATGTTCCTCACCTGTTCCTCTCCTGTGCCTCACATGTTCCTCACATGTTCCACATGTGACATGTTCCTGTCCTGTGCCTCACATGTTCCTCACCTGTAACTCTCCTGTGCCTCACATGTTCCTCTCCTGGTCCATACATGCTCCTCACATGTAAAATGTTCCGTTCCTGTTCCTAACATGTTCCACACATTACTCACGTGTTCCTCACATGTTCTTCTCCAGCTGTGGAGACTCTGTCCATCCCCCCAGCAGAGACTCAGAGCAGCAATATTTTGCTGATTGTTGGTGTTGTCGTCCCGGTCCTGCTGGCTGTCTTCATCATCATCATCCTCTACTGGAAGCTGTGTGGTTCAGAGAAGCTTGAGTTCCAGCCAGACGCCATTAGCACCATCCAGCAGAGGCAGAAGGTAAGAAGGGTCATGCTCACCTGCTCACCTGTCTCTGGAACAAGTTCACAGCTGATCCTCGGCTCCTCTGCAGCTTCAAGCACCAAGCGTCAAAGGCTTTGACTTTGCGAAGCTTCATCTGGGTCAGCACAGTAAAGATGACATCATGGTCATCCAGGAGCCTGGCCTGCTGCCCGCCCCTGTGAAAGAAGCCACGCCCTCTGATGGCGGAGACCTCAATACCCCCAAATCCAAAGGGTCGTCCACCAAGGCAGCGCGTTCGAGTCGCCGTAGAGGAAGGTAAAGATTTTATAAACTGTGAAACCCACCTTACAGGTGTACCTGGACAACASAAACACAACAAACATGTCGTTAAACTTAGTCTCTGTCCCTCTTTAGGCTCAGCCCATCAGATGGTGACTCTTTAGGAAGCGACCAATCGAGTGGCAGGGAGTCGGCAGAGGAAAGCACCAGGCCTGTGGCCACGCCCAGCGAGGGGAAACAGCACAGGAAGATGCCCAAAAATGGTCAGAGAGCCTGTGACATCATTATGTGGAGAGTTTGTGATGGATGAGAGAAGACAGAAAATATTTTGTCATTTTTGATTAATATTTCTTTCTTTTTCTCTGTTTGATGTGTTCCTGACTGAAGGGAGGAGCAAAGTTGGTATGTTTACATCAAAACATCAAAAGTCTCCAACTTTATAAATCTTTATCTTCAGTGTTTAGAAAGTCAGGCTGTGGTTGTATTTAGAGAAATCAAATGATTTGTGTAGTTCTAGTTTTGATGAATCAGGTGGTCTGACCTTTGACCCCGCCCTGCAGGAGCCCCTTCAGGCAGTGGGCCAGACGAGCTCCTGTCCTCGTCCTCCATCTTTGACCACGTAGATCGTCTGTCTCGCGGCTCGTCTGACGGCACGCGGCGCCAGGCCAACAAGGTGCAGCTGATCGCCATGCAGCCGAGGCCGAGCCCCCCGCCAACGCATGCCCCCCCGCAGCCGAGCCCCTCCATCACTGAGAAGGTCAACACCGAGGTGAGCCCACCACACGAACCGCTGTCCCCGTCAGTGGGCGGGTCAGAACAGAACCTGATCTGTATGATCCAGCAGGTGGCTCTGAGGCACAAGTCTGAGATCGAGCATCACCGGAACAAGCTGCGACAGCGCGCTAAGAGGCGGGGCCAGTGCGAGTTTCCCTCCATGGATGACATCATGGACGCATTTGGAGATGGGCCAGTTCAGAGCGAGGTGGCGCAGCGACTCTATAGCTCCGCCCATGACCACATGGACTGCATCCTTCAGGCTGACGCCGCCTCGCCCCCCACCCCCACCGACTCCAGGAAAAGGTCAGAGTTCAGCAGGACCTCAGACTGTCCTCTGGACCTGCTGGTCTCAGAGTCTCCTTTAAATCCAGGACACTTTCAGGTGACTCCGTTGTCTTCTTCTCCTCACAGAGGGAGGCTCTCTTCTCGAGGTCGGAGGGCTCAGCAGGGACCAGGAAGTCTCCCTGATACTGAGAGAGACCGGCTGCTCATCGATCAGGGGGCCACCTACAGGAAGTTCCCAGGACTCAACAACGTGGCCTACATGGTGAGAATCCAGTGGCGTTGTCTCCACGGTGGTCCTTCTGTCTCACATCATCTGTAGATGTATCAACCTGTACTTCTCCTGATGTTCTACCTTAATGAGGAACATCAAGACCCTGAGAGTTGAGTTCAGAGTTGGTAGATCTCTAGATGCTCTGAGTCAACAATCAGTTCCATGGAACTTGTTCAATTCCATTCCAATCAACAGACCTTCAGAGGTCCACGGTAGACCATGAGAGGTCCACAGTAGACCATCGGAGATCCAAAGTACACCTTCAGAGGTCCACAGTAGACCATCATAGGTCCACAGTAGACCTTCCGAGGTCCACAGTAGACCTTAGAAGTCCACAGTAGACAATCAGAGGTCCACAGGACCATCAGAGGTTCACAGTAGACCTTTATAGGTCCAACATAGACCTTCAGAGGTCCACAGTAGACCATCAAAGGTCCACAGTAGACCATCAGAGGTCCACAATAGACCTTCAGAGGTCCACAGTAGACTTTCAGAGGTCCACAGTGGACCTTCAGAGGTCCACAGTAGACCTCAGATGTCCAGAAGACCATCACAGGTCCACAGTGAACCTTTAGAGGTCCACAGTGGACCTTCAGAGGTCCACAGTGGACCTTCAGAGGTCCACAGTAGACCTCAGAGGTCCACAAGACCATCACAGGTCCACAGTGAACCTTTAGAGGTCCACAACAGACCTTTAGAGGTCCACATTAGACATTCAGAGGTCCACATTAGACATTCAGAGGTCCAAATTAGGCCTTCAGAGTTCCACAGTAGACCTTCAGAGTTCCACAGTAGACCTTCAGAGGTCCACAGTAGACCATCGGAGGTTCACAGTAGACCATCAGAGGTCCACAGTAGACCATCAGAGGTCCATATTAGACAATCAGAGGTCCACAGTAGACCATCAGAGGTCCACAGTAGGACTTCAGAGGTCCATAGTAGATCATCAGTGGTCCACATTAGACCATCAGAGGTCCACAGTAGACCATCAGTGGTCCATAGTAGACCATCAGTGGTCCACAGTAGACCATCAGACCTGAATAACCCTCAGTTCTAGACTGGACGTAATTTAAAGGTTTTTGTTAATCATTTCATTAAAGGTCCAGAGGAACTACTTAATTGTTTTAGAGCAAAGTTCTCCTCTGTCTTGTCTCCTCTTCCAGTCCGACCCTGACCTGCCCCCGGACCATGGCAGTCCGTCCCCAACAGATGAGGTCTTTGACCCGGCCCCGGCCCCTCCTCCCTACATGCCTCCACAGCCCTCCATTGAGGAGGCCCGCCAACAAATGCTCTCCCTGCTGGATGATGCCTTTGCCCTGGTCTCACCGTCCTCACAGGCCAGTGGGGGCGTCAGTGGGGTAAGAGCTAGCCTAGCAGTGGGGGTCTTACCCTGTAGCCCCCTCCTTTATCCTCTCTGCATCTCTTCATGTACGCTGATGATTCTGTGCTTGTGTTTAAACCCTGCAGAGATATTCAGAGCTGGGAGTGTCCCCCACATCCATCCAGGGTCTGCTGCAGAGGTCAGCGCTAAACCAGGTGCATGTGTGGAACCTGGAACCTGGAACAGAGTCAGAACTGATCCTGTGTCTGTTTCACAGGCAAGGCCTGGGCTCAGGAGTCTACGTTTCCCCTGGAGACCAGCTGCAGGAATCAGTTTACTCCAACAAGGGGAAGTACGAAGACCCCCCCTCCTCCTCCAGACCGCGACCTGTTGGGGGCAGCACAGGTACATCAGTCCAGATGGACCCATCCGGTCTCTTTAGAGGCTGTGTCCAAATTCAGGGGCTGGGTACTTAGAATGACCCGGCCCACTGGGTAGACCGGGTCCTTGGTCGACTGCAAAGACCGGAATAAAGTGTCTGTGAATTTGTACGATCTATGGTTTACTCTACAAAGAGTTCCCCTGATGTCACTTCCTGTTTCTCTTTAGCTGAGCCAAGTTCAAAAGAAAATATGCGATTTATATGAAAAAATGAGTAAAATCGTGTTTTATGCAAAGTTTCTTAAATATAAAGTTGTTTTCTTTGACTTTCTGAAGGATATAGATGTCACAGGCACTTTAAAGGTAATATTTGAAGAACTAATGGACCTGCAGTAGGTGCACATTTGTTCTCTACCAGCTGATTGTTTTCTGACAAGAATAATATTAAAATTATGTCTGATAAAAACATGAACACAACCGCTTGAAATGTTTAATTAAAACTGTGCTCCTTTCTCTCGCTTCGTCCGCCATAAATAGCAGTATAATAATCTCTGGTGGACCCACAATGCCTTATGAGATATGTTGGTCAAAGAAGGATCCAGTGGACCATCCCTCAAATTGGGATAAAGGGAGGATGCATTTGTCAGCTGCATCGGAGGAGTCTTTGAGTTTGGACAGCCTCCGGTGCGGCGCTGTGATGTAAGCAGCAGACAAACTCATCCTCCAGAGGATCCAGACCCTGAGTCTGGACACAGCCGAAGAACACTCTAAACACTTAATGCAGACCGTGATGCTAACTTTAACTCTCTGAACACGTGCCTCCAGGTGCACAGCTTCACCACCTGACTCAGGTGGGGTTGTCCAGTCAGATTGGTGTGTACCCGGGAGTCGGTCGCAGCATGTCTGGACCCACGGGGTCCAGCTGGCACCAGCAGCACTCAGACCAGGACCTGTCCAGACCAGGAGGCAGCAGAGAGAGCGTAAGTCATCGAGTACTTTAGGATCAACAAGTACGACCCAACGTCTTTGAATAAACCGTCTCTCTCCACAGGTGCTGTCGTTCCCTGAGTTCTCCTCTTCCTCCGTTTTCCAGATGCCCAGCTCCTCGTTACGAGACCCTTCGGCTCCACCCCTCCTCCTGACCTCGCCCACCCCTGAGTACCCACCAGAGGACGCCTCGCCCTCGGCCCACACCTCCGCCTCTCTTATAAAGGCTATCAGGGAGGAGCTGCGCCGTCTGGCCCAGAAACAGGCCGCAGTGACCAGTTATCCTTAGACTGACCTGGACCTGTCAGGACCAGGACTCAGCAGCAGGATTATTAACTGATCAACACCATGAAACAACAACACCATCCATTTTTGACAACAAGGGCAGTGTCTGCAGAAGACCTCCGGTTCTTTACAGGGTCTCGTCTTTCTATTTGTCTGACCATCATCTGAGTGTTTCATTGCACATAACGTCATGTTTCCACTGAAGTGCTTCCTGGAGTCGATCATCTGATGATCATCCTCCCCAATCGTCTCCGTTCAGTTGACTCTTCTGAACCTCTGGAGCAGCAGTACTTTCCAGAACCTCTGGAATGAATGGAACCTCCTGGAGATCTGCTGGAGTTCGGCTGTTCCACTCGTCTGGGGTTTGGATTTTAAGCTGTCAGAGGAAACAAACATTCCTGGCCTCCTAAAGTGGACGGTATCTTGATGGAGTTTTAGAGCAGATGGTTCTGGAGCAAACGGACCTTCTAGGATCTAGAGTCCTTAAAGAGCTCTGTTACTTCTGAAGCAAATGATACCTTTACGTGTTCTAGAACAAACTGTCAGTGATGGAGGTCTGGAACAACAAGACCATCTAAAAGGAATCTAGAACCTCTGAAGCGTACCGTCCCTCCTGGTTTTCCACTTTCAGACCTGAAGCAGATCTTCACTCTGTGGGTTTTGGAGTCCATCGCTCCTTCTCCTGAAGGGGATGGTACCTTTAAAAGTTCTTAAATAGATTGAGGGTCTTGGGTTTCTGCAACAGAAAAAAACCCTTCTGGAATGACTCTAGAACCCCTGAAGAGCACCGTCCCACCTGGTTTTAGTCCTCCCAGAGCTCCTGGAGCAGATCTGTCCAGTCCAAGCAGAGTTCTGGTCCTCCTGAGGTTCTGAAGAGGACCATCCTTCTGGACTCCCTGTGGTGCTAACCGTCAGCCTCATCTCATCTTTGACCACTTACTGCCTTCCACAGTCCCATCAGCCACGGTGATCAGGTCTGCATCAATAAACCATCCGGACTGAGGTCTTTGCACTCCTGGACAGCTGGAGGCGCTGTAGTCCTGACAGCACGACAAGACAAACTACAAACATAGAAATCTATAGCAGAAAGAATAAAATATATGTAAAGAGATAGAATGAGCACAATATAAATGTAAGAGTTATTGGAGTATTGAGATGTGATGTATTTTGATTGCTTATGTTTAAAAAAATCTACTTTAAATGCTTTATTTTAATCCAAAAAAGACCAAACTACTGTTCTTGTGTTTGTGCTCGCTGTAGATGTGGAGCCGCTCGCTTGCTCGTGTCTTCTTGTATCGGTGGCAAAGAAAAAAACACAGCTGATGTTTTGTTGCTTCCATTAAATGCTGCAGTTTGGTGTGAAGATACAGATTTTCTGTAGCGAGTTAAAACCTGACTGAAAAGTTTGTTTGCACATTTTAGGCCTCTTTGCACAGTTTTTCTTTGTTTGAAGTGGATTTCTGCGGAAAGGTTCAGAAGTTCAAAGGTTTAGAGCTGAGTTGTGACCGGACCTTTGAGCTAATGATCAACACTAATCCTTAACCCTTTACAGCACCATCTGTTTTAAAATGATAAACATGGTCTTGGTCCTGCTCAGACTAGCCTTTAGCTCATCCTTCCTGTCAGAATCCAACTTGTTTCTTCAAACATGATGTCATTCAAAATGTCTGAACTTTTATTTTGAAGTTAGAAACCTGATGTTTGAATGTTAGTTGGAATTAAAGCTGCTAGGTTGTTTGATTTATCTGTGGTTGAATCAAAATGTCKGTTCAGTTTTTGGTGGTACTGATCCGAGTCTCCTGAAAGTGAAAACAGACACGTTGTTGCCATGGAGATTAGGTCCCGTTGTTGCGTAACACTTTTAACGACACTTTAAACATCTGAGGTTTCTGTAGAAAGGATGGTCAGATTTCTGTTTAGCTTTGAATTAAAGTTAAAAAACTTCAGCTCAGAGGTTAGCCGTTAGCTTCATCTTCAGCTTCTTCTATCAAACTGACCCTTTTCTGCTGATTCTGCCTTTAGCTTTTTAGTAAACATCATCAAAGCTTTCATTGGTCCATGCTCTTCTTCAGCTCATCTCATTGGTCCATGCTCTTCTTCAGCTCTTCTCATTGGTCCATGCTCTTCTTCAGCTCTTCTCATTGGTCCATGCTCTTCTTCAGCATGCTCAGTAAGCTTCAGCTGTTGTCTGTGTTGCTGTTAATGTTCAGCATGCTGCTAAACCATGTTAAAGTTTAAAAAGTTGCTTCACGTCTGAGCAGAGTTGTTAGCATCCGGGTGCTAAAGGAGCTGCAGCTCATCCATGGTTAAGCATTTTTTTTTTTTTGCTTTTAATTTCTAAAGCTATTTTTAAATCTCAAAGAAGATGGTTACAGTGTATAAATGAAAGTGGAAATGGTGTTAAATAGAACTAATTATATAAATATATACAAATAAATATATATATACAACTTATTTTATCTGTGATTGCTGAACGGACACTGATCAGCTCCTCTATGGACCAACCACAGACCAGCTCTGGACTATCTGATTGCACCTGTCAGTCAAGCTGTTGGACTTGGACACGCCCACTGGATCACATGGTGCTACTTCAAAGACTCCAAGTGGACCTGAGACTCCTCAGATCCAACCACACAAGAGAAGAATCCTGCAGCGGTTCTGCTCGAACAGACGTGGATCTTCTTCTGAATGTTTCCTTCGATGTTTTCTAGACTTTCTGTGTTTTTAGATCTTCTCCAACAAGTAGTGGACCTGCAGAGGTTCATACATGACAAAACCGCTGACCTGGGTCAGGATCTCAGCTCTGATCACAAAACAATCTGCTGCACAAAATAAATATAATAGAAACAAATGATAAAAAATAGATTATAAATGAAGAACCGGAGGAGAACCCAAGTCCAACGTTTTGTCATGAATGAACTTCCTGCTGCCGCTCCAGTCCAACCACATTCCTGTTAATGTTCCTCAGACTCTGACCTCACGCCCAGACCACGTGAGCCCATCTGGTTCTAATGAGTCCACCTGGGTTTGGGTTCCAGAGTCTGAAGTATTTGTGTCCGATCCATGAGCTGGGAACACTGCCAGCAGCCTCACCTGTTCAACAGCAGCTACCAGGTGAACCCTCAGCCGGGTCACATGACTGAACCGGTTCCTCTGTGGGAACTGGATCTGGCAGGTCTGACAGATTGTGTTCCAAACAATAAAGAGACGTGTTCAAATTCAAACTCATGTTGGATTTTCTTCATCGTCTAACACGGTCAGGGTTTACAGCAGGTTCAGGTCCAGAACACTTTCAGCTGCTGTCAGCAGAGTGTGTCTGATAAACACCAGTTATTTAGTTTCAGCTCAGAACTATCAGAATTACTGCTGTGCTAATCTTAAATTTGGCTAATATTTTATTTGTTTTAGCTTTTATTTTAGATTGAGTTAATTTGAGCTTTAATTTGACGCGTTCAGGTTCAGATTACTGGAGTTTTTATGTGTTCAGGATCCAGGACCTCATGTACAAATGGTGAGTACACATAAAAAAGTTGTGTGCTCCAGGTTCTACGCCCACGTTGGGATGGATCAAAACCAACGTTTCACCTGCAGTGAGAATGTGCAGCAGACACACAAAGTTTTTCAGTCTACAGTTTTAACCTCGCACAAAGTCACAAATCTGAGCTGAATCCACAGAAATATGAGTCTGTTGTGTTTTCTGGATGTGAGGAGCGTCTGAACACGCTGTTAGATTTTTATTTTACTTTGAGTTTTTATTGTTTAAACTGAACCATGATGAAACTGAAAATCATTTAACCTCAGACAAGAAAACAGATCAGCCTAAAACTGATCAGAGACCCTCAGTCCAGTCTGTAAACTGGTTTTATTGTTGTCATGTAGTTGGAAACACACAGAGWGCAGGTCTGAGGAGCACACACAGCTGAGGAACTGTTTAAGAAACATTTTGATTTTCACTGAGAGAAAAACTGTCGACTCAGCAGATTAACTCAGAACAGCTCAGCTGTGATGGTTCCTCAGCTCCACAACACACAATATTTGTGTGTCTGGATCAGTGTCAGCTGTTCCCAGTCCCACACCGCAGCAGGAAGTCAGCGCTGCGAGTCACTCCTTCCTTCACTTCAACTATTTAATAATTATTTTATCACTAACACCTAACTCATCAGTTCCTCTGTGTTTACACTCATTTATTAAAGATTCCTCTGTGTTTACACTCATTTATTAAAGATTCCTCTGTGTTTACACTCATTTATTAAAGATTCCTCTGTGTTTACACTCATTTATTAAAGATTCCTCTGTGTTTACACTCATTTATTAAAGATTCCTCTGTGTTTACACTCATTTATTAAAGATCCCTCTGTGTTTACACTCATTTATTAAAGATGTGTAAAGG